TTTTTTGATCATCAGATCAAGGAAGGAAAGTACATTTTCCTGTATGGAGGAGACGACGATGAATGGGTGAGGAAGTTCACAAACACAGCACGTACTGTGGCGCTGGCAGCCCGCATTCCCCTGGAGATGGTTTATGTGGGGAAGAGCAGCAAAAGAGAGAAAATCCGGCGAGTCATAGCGACAATCACCGCGGAGAAGCTCAGTTCCGTCTGGCCAGACCTTACCATGATATGGTTCTTTTGGACCAGGCTAGAGAGCATGCTGTACTCCTGGATTCAGTTAGGCAAGCTTGATGACCATGATCCTATGATGCAAGAAATCAAGAAGTTGCTTAGCTACGACAGAGAAGGTGGATGGGCTGTGCTTAGTAATGGGTCTAATGTTGTGGCCAATGGTCACAAGACCACAGCTTTGCAAACATTGCTTGAGTATGACTTGTGGAAGGAACAAGTGCCTGTCAAGGGCTTTGATTTGGCCTTCCGTGATCACCAGGGCATGATCCATGGCATTGCTCGTCCTTGCTGCCGCTTCGATTTCCCAATGACTACGGGTAGGATCCCCGAGACCATGAAATGCCCAGAGTGCAACCGCACCATGGAGAAATTCTCCACTTTCCTTTGCTGCCATGATGAGGTCATTCCAGACGAGCTCTTGAAGTAAATGATCAGCTGCTACGCTTCCTTGTAGCTCATACTGCCACTAAATAATGCTGTTGAGTGTGCTCTTTTTTTCCTTTTGAATTTTCATGCCCACCTATGGCGCACAGTAATCGGACCTGGCATTTGATATTCCATACTATAAAATAAATTTGCGTGTGATCGATGTAATCCCCGAACTTAATTAATTTGTTTTATTAATTAATATATAAAGTCCAAATTAGTTGTATAGCTTCCTTGCCTTCAACTAAAAGAAACAGAGTGTGAACCTCAAAACATTATAAAAAGATTAAAAGCAAAATTATTAATTTCCTTAAAAGCGCTAATTACACCCAAAAAAAAACCTGTTAAAGGAAAAAATATATTTTCTCAAAAAATAAACAAATATATATAGTTCGTATATAACGGTGAAAGCTAGGAAAATAATCTACCTAATGTGTTTTTTTTAATTATTATTATTATTTGGGTCACCGTTCTTTCCGAATAAAAACTCAAAATCACTTGAAACATTATGCATTTTCAAAAAAGAAATGCCTTAAATCTCATTTGGAGATAATCTTTTTATTCAATTTAGAATGTGCCGATCAAATTTTGAAAATTAAAAAACTCTATCTTTTCAAAATAAAAAAAAAAAACAATTAAGAAAAGAAAAACAATCTAAAACAATTCATCTATATTTCATATAAGAAATTAAGTTGATTATAAAATATTTCCTCTATCTTTGTTTTATATTTTGAAGATATTTTTGAATGAAAAATTAAAAAAAATAAAAATAATTGGAGGTATCTTGTTTGAAAGATCAATTTTTTTTTAGAATACTCTATTTCCTTTGGTTTTAGCTTTTTGTTTTTTATTTTTTTTATCTCACCTTAACCTTAACTCCATTACAACTAAAAATATTTTTTTATTCATGCATTGCTTGTAATATTTTAGTAATGGAAATAAAATTGAAGAGCAAACTTATGATACAACATATTCATTGATTGAATTTGAGAAATTTAAATATATAAGCCCTAAACACATAAGTGTTGAAGTGTATATCAACGAGAGGACCCATCAGTTTGACATGTTATAGATTTTATTTAAATTCCAACGATTAATTGAATTTTAAAGTTTGTATATAAATGAGTTCATAAAGATTTATACTCTCTATCCTTCTTGATTGTATTCTTGTTTATAATGTATATATTCTTAGACATTGATGGGAGATTAAGAGATTAGTCATAGTTATTTTATTAATTCAGTTTAAGTTTGAATTTATCTATCCTTTCTCGAGGACGAGTAAGAGATAAGTGTGGAGGTATTTGATGCAACCATATTATTTGATAGTTTCACCCATATTTATCTAGTGTTTTGCCTATGTTTTATACATAAAATGTCTTGATATTCTTTGTTTTATTTTTTGAAGGTATTTTTGGATGAAAGATTCAAAAAGAAATAAATTAGAGATAATTGATAGATTTAACTTTCGATCGATGTTTTGTGCAAAACTTGAGCTCTAGAGGTCAAAACAAAGTGATTATAGTGGAATTGGAAAGCTAACATCTATACCTTTTTAAAAATATAAGGCAAGACAAAAAAACATGGAAATCATAGCGTTCAAAGTTAAATCTTGCATTTTGTCAATGTTGACCTTCAACAATTTGATTTGAATATCTTAAGCTATAAAAGTCCATTTCATTTGATGCAAACTCAATTTTTTTGGATTCCTAACTTGAAGAACTATCAACATACCAAAATTTAGTGGAAAAAGAGCTTATATGAGAGAGATATGAGTTTTTTAAGATGACATATGAATTTTGCTAATAGACAGGTTTTGTGAAGAAATAAGTCTAAAGTACTTCTTAAAGCATCCAAATCATCATCCTAGTCTTTATTTCTACAATTTAGCTCTTTTAAGTCAAAAGTCAATGCTTGAAGATTTTATGTAGCACTATTTCTCTTTTTTTAGGAAAATAGTTGTTGAAAGGCTTAAATGTAAATTATCTACATAGAAAAGACTATTTTGTAGAAAAGGGATTAGGGTTTCCTAGGATATAAAAAGAAAGAGAGAAAAGAAAAGAGAGGGCAACCAATAAAGAGAGAAAAAATGCCCCTTTCCTCCAACAGAACTCGAAATTTTATCTTTTTTTTTAATTATTAATTGTTTAGTAGACATGCAAGGCTAAACTCTTTTTCTTAGTAGTAAAGACATAGAAACCTTCAGATTTTAAGAACTATGAGATTTAGTTTACCTATTCTTTTTATTTTATATGATGAATATGTTTGTTCTTGATTAGTACTTAAAAGTACATTTTTATCAAGGTTTTATATCATCATTTTGCACTTGAAGTATCAATAACTCCTTAACTAAAACATGTTTTATATTAAAATATCTAATAATATAAGATACCTTTAATTTGTGGTAAATGTTCCTTTTAAATGCAGGCTTATCATATAAATGAAAGAATTGATTGATGAATTTAAGAACTAAAATTGAAAGGATAAAGAGATGGCCAAACTTAGAAAAGAGATGTCGGTACAATCCAAACCTTAGAAAAGAGATGCTAATGTAGTTTAAACGGGAATACTATACGATAATTGATTCATATCTGAAGCTATAGATCTCGGATTTAGATTTACTTTATATGGATGAAAAGGTAAGACATAAGCCTACAACTTTTATATGGAGCCCAAGATTTAGAAAGACCATTTCAAGTTCAAATTATAGCAACAACAAAGAAGTCCAAATCTGTTCTACAGTCGGAGCACTGTTCCGTGTTTGTCCCATTCTGGAGTTCTAGAAGTACATTTTCAAGTCCAAATGACCTCTATTTTTTTTTTAGAAAGTTGAGACAATTTTCTACAACTTTTATGTTTTCAAGTGGTTCAATTTTAACGTTATCAATA